TATATATGATGTATGTGTGTGTGTGCATCCAAAATACGCACATGCATATAAATATAATGTTCCAATTAGGAGTTCCGCGCATCCCATTCCTGTCACTTGTTACTGCTCCCTAATCGAAAACTCGTCATACATGAGAGTGGAATACGAGAACTATTTCTGCACACACGATGATATCATTCAATTCAGGAATTGAAAAAATGTCTGTTTTTCGCCGTCCTCTGCTCCGCTACCTCCCCTCCCTATCAAAATACTATTGCAGCCTTTGGATGCTTCTCTCTCTCTCTCTCTCTCTCTCTCTCTCTCTCTCTCTCTGTCTCAACTCGCGAATCACTATCCACAATTAAATTTTACTACCACACATAGAAGATTAACGGTATGAAGGTGACCGCGACAATTCCAATAAATTACGATAAACCGCATGGTGCACATGATGTATCATTTTATACCTGTTTACCGTATCCGTATCAAAGAAAATAATTTTATGTGTATCACGCGCGGAAACGTAGCCACAACGTCGGGGAGAAGTGCAGGACAATCACTCTTATCAATTGTTTCATCTCTCTAGATATAGCAGCATGCATTCAGATATTCGATTCTACCGTGTCAAACGAAATTATGTTTCATAATAATTTACCATTGACTATATAACGGGGATTCTACAATGAGTCAATAGTCGGAAATCTTAAGCAATCTTAACCTTAGTCGTACAAGTTGATTATTGGCCAATTTCACCAAATAAGGACTTCCGCCGACGAAAAGTATCTAGCTAAGATACTCGAGAACGAGTTGCCTAGAAAAATTTCTCGTTGGAAAAGCTACCGCTTTCCGAAAACTCCGTAAAACACCGTAAAAAGCGACTCACTTGTAGAAAGCTCATTCGCGACGACTCTAACGTCTTTGTTTTCTGCCTGTATGTTAGCGGGTCCGAGTTGGTGCGTCGGGCCAGCCGTTCGTATTTTCGTTTCATCGATGTCCATCCACAACTATCACGAGAGTGGAGTCTCGAAATCATCACTTTATCACTGCCATATTCGAATGGCAAACGAACTTCCAACACAACTTTGTGAGTTTCACTCCACTTCACTCTTCATTCACCAAACCACACAACATCCCACACAGCCATCACAACCAAACCAAACTTTACCAAACCAGTCCGACATCTTCTTCTCCCTCTTAGTTGATGGCCTCCTGCCTCTAAACCAGACAAACTGAAAGGGTATATCCACACAACTTGCATAGTCGCATAAACGTATGGAATGTAGAGAAAATTATCTAATCGCATTTCTCCTCCTACATAGAGGAGACGTACAATGTGATTGGACAATTTTCTTTATACATACGTTGCAAGTTGTGAATATACCCAAAATGTTCAAGCAATTCAAGGCAATGTACCAACAGACATCGATGAACGCGTCGCATGACTTCGCACTCCGCACCGGAGTCATTAAGGCCATTCTACATTGGTCGTATCGAAGACATCGTAAGTCACAAGCTTGTTGTTCAGCCAATCCGATGCTTCAATTTTTAAATTGACGCTTACGACCCTTCTGATACGATAAGACCAATATAGAATGGCCTTTAAGTTCGGACTTACAATAGATGTTTTAAGAGCCGTAAGAAATTGACCAATTGTAGTCGAATGCGAGGAGAATAATTAATTGTGATTCGTCCATTTCTTATGGCTTAAGATTTAATATTGGATGTGGGAAAAAGTTCGTGGCGTTTTTCCCGCTAGACATTAAATGCTCAGCAGTCGGCAACTACTAATCGCATCGGCAATACTAGGCGTTTAAAAAGTGAGTTTTAATTTTTGTTTTGAGCCGAAAAAGATTGAAATCGGTGAAGTGGAGTCAAAAGTTATTTTATTTTGAAAATGGAAATAAATAAGGAAAAAATTCGCTACATTTTGCAGTATCACTACTCTAAAGGCAAGAATGCTGCACAGGCTTTTGAAAAAATTTGCGCTATTAGATGTACAATTTTGCTTCCGCCGTTTTTTTTCCGAAATTCGAGGCTTTATTGTAAAAAACTGGTTACATTTATGATTCAAAGTATTGTCCATCGCTGGCCACTACTTTCTCCCATCTTTCGGATAGCGTATGAATCCTGCGTCGAAAAAACTGGTCATCTTTTGAGGCTATCCACGAATCGATCCAATTTTTTACTTCTTCATAAGACCGGAAGTGTTGGTCAGCCAGGCCGTGTGTCATTGATCGAAACAAGTGATAGTCAGAGGGAGCAACGTCTGGAAAATACGACGGGTGGGGTAGGATTTCAACGTTTCCAAGTATGTCTTGACCACTTTCGCAACATGGGGTCGAGCATTGTCATGCTGCAAAATCACTTTATCGTGTCTCTCGTTGTATTGCGGCCATTTGTCTTTCAATGCTCGGCTCAAACGCATCAATTGCGTTCGATACCGATCGCCTGGATTGTTTCAGTCGGTTTTAACAGTTCATAATACACTATGCCGAGCTGGTCCCACCAAATACAGAGCATGACCTTGGACGTCAAAATCACCGTTCTTGAAGCGTTGAAACCACTCACGACACGTTCTTTCACTAATAGCGGCCTCACCATAAGTATTTGAGAGCATTCGATGAGCCTCAGCCGCAGATTTCTTCATATTGAAGCAAAAAATTAAAACCTCCCGCAAATGACGAGAATTTGGCTCGTAAACTGACATTTTCAATCGAGAATAACTTTATGGCACAAATCGACACAAATCGACTAATGTTTCTATGGGGTTATGTTGACAGATGCCCAAGTTTATTGTATGACGTCTATGATCTATTTATTTCGACCACCACTTACCGCTAAAGCCATCTATAGGAAAACGGCGGAAGCAAAGTTGTACACCTAATATTTACGGTGAAGATACTCTATCAAAATCAACAGCACGGAAATGGTTCGCTCGCTTTCGTGCTGGAAATTTCGATGTGAAAGATGAACCTCGCTCCTGGTCGACCAATCACTGAAAAATCCGATGAAATCATGGTAAAAGTCAAGCGTGATAAGCATGTGAGCACTGTGGAGATTGCAAGGGAACTAGGCATCGACACAAAACAGTTTTAAATCATTTACACAAAGCTGGATACAAAAAGAAGTTTGATGTTTGAGTTCCTCACGAGTTGAGTGTTAGGAACATGATGGACCGAATTAACATTTGTGATACGCTACTGAAACGGAAATGAAATTGAGCCATTTATGAATGATAACTGGTGATGAAAAATGGCCTATGACGATCCAATTAGAAAAAGATCGTGGATAAAGAAAAGAGAGAAGGCGCAAGCAATCGCAAAACCTGGATTGACGAAGAAGAAGGTGAAGTTGTATGTGCGTGTGGTGGGACTGGAAGGAAATTCACTATGAGCTGTTATCGTCCAATTAAACAATTAATTCCGAACTCTACTGTGAACAACTGTAGAGATTACAACAAGCAATTGAGAGGAAGCGGCCAGAATTAATCAATAGGAGAGGTGTCGTCTTCTATCACGACAACGCTCGACCACACACATCTTTGATGACTCGGCAAAAATTGCGAGAGCTTGACTGGGAAGTTTTAATGCATCCACCAATAGCCCTTAGACTATCATTTGTTTAGGTCTCTGCAGAATTCTCTTAATGGTGTAAAGTTAGCTTCAAAAGAGGCCTGTGAAAATCACTTGAAGCAGTTTTTCGATCAGAAACCACAGAAGTTCTATCGCGATGGAATTATGGCTCTGCCCTAAAAATGGCAAAATATTATAGAAAATAATGGAGCATATTTCGTTTAAATAAATTGATTTCAATATTCTAAAAAAAACATTTTAATTTTACTAAAAAATCGCCACGAACTTTTTCCCAATATAATTGTAATGTTCCCAATATTATTGTATCCGGGTTAAAGCGGGGAGCAAAGACTCTTGCATAACGCGTAACATATACTGCATAAGAAAATAAACCAAAGTCCTTTATTTTCTTCCTTTCCATGAAATAAAGAATTCTGATTGATTGATTTTCTTATGCTTCAAGTTTTTTGCGCTCCCCGCTTAAGGGTGCCGTCCCACATATACGGTACATACATGGAATCGGAACGACGGAACGAATTTCTTATTAGAAATGAGTTCACTAGCATTCCGTTCCGTAAGAAGTTTCTCTACTGTGTCGGAACCATCGAAATCACGACCGGAACAATATAGAAATGATACGGAATCAACGGAATGTCATGTCGATTGCAGGCTATGTCAATCATGGATGCGTTCCGTTTCTTGAAGCGCATTTAGTGGCATGCAGGGTGCGTTTCGTTTCTCCAATACACTCTATGTGATTTTAGTAATGGAATGGATTCGCAGTGAATTCATGTGAACATGGACAATTTAAAACTGAATTACAAATGCATTCGATAATTATTGTTGCATCTTCTTTTTTGACAAAAGAAGAAGATTTATATTTTTCGAGCAGCACTTACAATCTTATTCTGCAAGAAAAGAAAAATGAAATGTATTACCAAAATATCTAAAAAGGATTTAATTTCCAAAATATTAGAAATTTAATAAAAAAATTTTATAGATTATTCTTACATGTTCAGACACTTATAACAAAATCCGAAATCGATTCACTATGAAGTAACTTGAAGTTATAAGAGTTTAAAATATAAAAATTTTAAGGTTAGATTTGAGATAATGTCAAAAATTTTTCATTTTTTTC